CACATGTGGATTTGTAACCAGAATTTGTTTTCAGATATAAGAGCAAGAAGAACGTGGTTTGCCTACAACCTGGGCTTGACCTATCACTTTGTAACTGTATAAACCAAGAATCTCCTCATAAGATGCTCTGTATAAGACAGGAATGAAAAACCCAGCTATAAATGAAGCAGAACCCCAAATCTTATCAAACAGATGAGCTCCTGTAATTCAACTTAGTTGTCTAGAATGTAACATGCAGTCAGACAAGCACTCAGCAAGACTCTGATGTCACTGTTAAGGCCAATAAGCAGCCAAAGAAAAAATATTCTGTAGACTACAGCATCAGAAAGCCCACCAAAGCAAGGGTCCCTCCCCACAAAAAAAAAAAAAAAAGACAACAGAGAGGATGTCATTAGAACAATATACATGTTGTAATAAAGTCTAGGGTGGTAGCATTTAGTTACCCCTTTAAAGAGGAATCTAATACTACTCTACCACTGATTCTTGCCTTTCCAATTCAGCACAAGGCACGATGTTCACGAGTGCCTGAAGCAAGTCTCCTCAGTGACCTGAAATCAGCAGGACTCAGAATCCAGGGATCTCAGCTCCAATCAAATCTTGTGTCTTGTGTTCGTCATTAATCACGTGCCACTGAGGGTCCAGAGACTGTCAAGGAACAACACTGAAGCCATGTATGCCTCCTGTAGCCTTACCTTGGCCAGCCTCAGCTCTGGTTGAGCCTCAGCATCAGAGGTTAATCATGCAGCTGGAGGGCTTTGGATTTGACCAATCCAAATTGGGGATCTGATCGCACCACTACGCACCCCAAGGTACTCTTGGATCTCCCTAACTTTTCCTTGACTCTGAGCATGAGAAGATGCCAGTTAAAGATACACTTTTGATACAAACATAATAGTAGAGAAAACGGCAATTTATTCTGCATATCAAAAGCAAAGGATCACTTCTACTGCTCTCCACCGAAAGAAAGTACAGCATATGACAAGCACAAAAGCAATTTAATATTTGTACACAAAGCAGACCTAATCTTATTTGGACTCTTCAGACACCATACCAATGAAATAAGAACAAATTCTGGACACTATTATTATTCTCACATGGTTACTGAGCAACTTCTTACTAAAGATAGACACCTGACACTGTCTCCCACAACTGAATCTTGCTTCACTTACCACTTTGCCTATCATTCACTGCACGGGTACATCTAACATAAGAGTGTTAGCTCCTTGAGAAAACATGAATAATTTAATGTGTGTAAAATGCCTCACAGACTCCCCTGATGCACCACTCATGCAAATCCATTCCTATTGGGCTGATCCTTCAGGAATCAGACAATAGTTAACACAAGTACATGTCAAGACTCAAGGAGGAGCAAACTTAGTGCAGCAAAGAGAAAACGTAAGCAAGGAATGGAGGCATAAGGCAGAAACTGCACGGATATTTTTGCAGCAATAAATAGTGGTCATCTCTAACACAGAGTCCAGAGGAGGCCACCAAGTTGATTAGAGGGATGGAACACCTCTCCTTTGAGGTAAGGTTGAGAGAACTGGGATTGTTCAGCCTGGAAAAGAAAAGGCTTTGAGGTGACCTAATTGTGGTGTGCAGTACCTGAAGGGAGCCAACAAGAAAGACTGAGAGGGACTATTTACAAGGGTCTGTAGGGACAGGACAGGGGGAATGGCTTCAAACCGAAAGAGAGTAGGGTTAGATTAGATATTAGCAGGAAGTTCTTTGCTTTGAGGGTGGTAAAGCACTGGCACAGGTTGCCCAGAGAAGCTGAGGATGCCCCATCCCTGGAAGTGTTCAAGAGCAGGTTCGACGAGGCTTTGAGCAACCTGGTCTAGTGGAAGGTGTCCATGCCCATGGCACAGGGATTGGAACTAAGTTCCTTCCAACTCAGGCCATTCTATGATTCTATTATATGATGATAGGAAGTGCTACATGAAACTGCACAAACTGCAAGATCTCCAGCTGTACAAAGTACAAAGAAATATTCTGAAGATAGTTCTATACATGATTCTCTATGTTAATCCAGACCAGAAGTGTAGGCACACTGGTAGTACCACAGCACATATTTCACATCTCTGTCTGCTCTGCCTCTTACGTTTTCCTTATTTTCTTTCCTACATTTCTCTACCCTCAATTAATCTCCAATTCAGCAGGCCATTCTGTATGACTGAATATCTGAAAATTCTTTTAAAATCAGCAACCAAATGCTCATATTAAATATATCTATATCGATGTCTGTATAGGTGTGTGTGTATATATACACACACAGAGGCACACACAGTATTCACACACACACAGAGAACATAACCCTAATAGAATTGCTTCCAACTATTGGGATATAACACTGCTTTGCCCACCAGATGGCAGTAACTTCAACTTAATATAACCAGTCACCACATGCACAGCAAACAATGGTATTCCTTATATTCGGGATTTTCCTTAAGACGGAATGCTGGGGTTTTGAACATGTAGAGTAGAGCTATTCCAGTTTCCCTCTATTTAATGACAAACTGTAGGATGAAGTGTTGTACTACCAGCTAAGTTCAACACTGATCAGTGTATCCTATGAAGTTGTTTCGATTTTTTTTTTTTAAACAGATATCATTTCATAGGGGTTTTTTTCAGTATACTGTAATTTTCTCAAATTTGAGAAGTGCAGGTGTTATTCCCAGTCATTGCCTTTTTCCACGAATAATTTCCAAACAGAAATAACCAAGTAACTTTCAATTGTATAATAAACAGACTTTTACAGTACATGCTAACAGTTAAAAAGACTAAAGGACTCCAAAAAAGGGTGGAAATGGAAAAAGCCTTGTGCATAATTGTTTGACAAAAATATTCAGTGTGCAGATTTCTTAAGGTAACATCTACTGCAAAAATATTGCAGGCAGTACATACTTTATTACATACAGGTTAAATCGCCTTTAACGTGGGAGTTGACAATTGCTCCTACTGGAAAAAGCAAGAAAGTTTTCTCAACATAGTCCAGGCATCATAAAATAATGTAGTCTAGTAGATGGGGACTGCTCTGTAGGATATCCAGCTTTAGAAGCAACTGATCATTGATTCTAGCCAAAAGATTATTGTTCCTCTTTATGTCTTTAACTTCTGCCATTTTTTAAAAGAAATTTTCCAGAACAAAATGTCCTATATTATAAAAAGAGGACTTCACTGCTATACTTTTAATATTAGTATTCAGAATTATTAACTGGGTTTTTATGCATCTCTATTCTGACTGCAAACATAATATCAAAAGTGTACATTCTTATTAATAAAACACACTCATCCCCCAATAAATTTATTACAAAATACACAGTCTGTTTGGACAGCTGGCTTCCACCATCCTACAGGCAGGGATTCAAGATCCTTTCTTAGTTTCATGATCTCTTTTTCAGCAGAAAGACAAAGTGGAGTAAAATTTTCTCCAGATATACAAAACAGATAAGTATGGTAATGTTAAAAAAAGGCCACAAAAATAAAGCAAAAAAATTATCCAGGCTTTATGGATAAACAGAAGATTGAGGGAAAACAACAATGGCAAAAAAGAAACTGGTCTCAGGCACACAAAAAACCAAAATATTCGCAATAAAAGGAGGAAACATAAGCAGAAGGGAAAGAAAATATGATTGTGAAGCCTTTGGGAAGAGAGAGAAGGAAAGCCTAAGTGTGGCTATCAGGCCTGGCTTTAGGAATGCCACTGTATGCAAAAAGCTAGGCCTCTGCCACCTGCTCCAGCTGAAATAGGCTGGTGAAATACTATTTTTCAAGAACACAGTGATATGCCTACTTTCTACTGATTAAACATTAAGCAGTCAGGCAGACTTGTTTTTCACACTTACGGCTAATATTCGTAAATATTTCACTTTTAATTTTTAGCTCCTCTAAATAAACCAAAAAGGTAAAAACTCATTCACATGGATGTGTACTAGACCACCAGCAGCCCAAATTAGTGTCATTTTAACTGAAGATAATATCTAGATATAGTATAATTCAAAAGACTTTTCCATAAATTTTTCATTATGGTTTGATATTCTTCTGAGATCACACATTCACATCAGCTGGGAGTATGAGCAGAACCTACCATAAAACTCATTCCTAACATCTGAAGGGAGAGGAAAAGTAAAGGTATGAAAGAATTTTGAGTATGAGCCTGTCCAAAATGGTTTGAACTGGAAAATGCAAACCTGTGTGAACAACCATGCACTCAAAATCCATCCTGAGATCAGAAAGAGAAACCAAGTGAGTCATTGTTGAAGGGAACGGAGTAAAGCACAGGGGTCCACCGTTCAACACAAGGGCCCAGCATAAAAAGCTTAGCACAACCCCATGATGTTCAAAGTGCTGGCGAAGTAGGAGTGACAGGCAACTGCTTTTTCCTCCAACTGCAGTATTAGTAGTAATCCGACAGTCACGTTTAGAAAAATTCTGTATATTTTGAAAAGGATGTGGGGAAAAAATACAGGTAAAGGAAGAGCCACAACTACTGGATACCGGGTAATGTGTCACGGTGAAATTTTTAAGAGATATCAGATCTATTTTAGCTGACTTGAACAAACATGTAGCAGTGACTACAGGAAAAAAATACCATCTATGGCTGAAAGATAAAGCTGGTCAAATTTAAATTAGGTAAAAGAAACAAATTCTGATAGTTTGTTTCAGGAATTAAGCATTCTTGCCATAAAGATAAATAGCGATTAAATAAATAATTTCCTGCTTCAAAGACAAAATACAAGGGAGTGACAGCACAAAATGTAAAAACTTACGAGTTTAAACTACATGGTCCAATGGCACATTCTGATTTGAAACACAGCCCTGTGCTGTGAGGAGAAGGACCATGACTGAGCTCCTTGGGAGCCATTTCAAACACAGAAGGAGTGTCTCCTCCCCATCCTGGGAAAGCCACCATAGGATGGAGAACCTCAGCACTGCCCACGGCCTCATGTGCACTGGGTGACTGGGATTCTGAAACTTTGGATAATGGCCTCGGGGCTTACCTGCAGCTCATGGCAAACACAGTCCTGCTGAGACAGAATGGCAGCTGCACACCTAGAAAAGATGTAGGGCATCAGAACAAGGATACAGGACTCACTCAATAAACTAGTTGAGTTTCACCCGTTATTTTACAATTAACCCCATTTCAAAGAAAGACAATGTTATCTCCCAGAATTACAAAATATAAAGACAAAAAAAGAGGAATCTTTTTTTTTTTTCAAGGCTTGATGAACTTCAACACGTTAAAAAATTTACGGGAATTGTCATATACCAGCAGCTGAAGTGACAAAATAAGGTGGTACCATGACATCTGTCTTGCAGAGCCCACAGCCTTTCAGCACATCACAAACTGGGGGCACTCTTGCTGGTTGGACACTCAGTTGTGTACTGACCTACGCAAGCTAATAAAGTCATGATTTTATGACTTTTATTTCATGCCAACCAACTCCATTTCTTAAATCAAATTTCAGCACCTGAAAATTCTTTTTTTGTCTTCCTCTCGGTGTATTGTTAGAAAACATACTGAATTTATGCACAAAACCTATAACTTTTCTCATTTGAACTAACTTCTTCACAGCAGACACAAAGTTGTGTTTAGCAGAATATTTAGGGAAAGTATTAACCTACAATCACATGTCTAGCACAGCAAATACAATACCAAGGGAAAACACGTGTAGCAGAAGCACTATGCTGGGAAAATGTGTTTAGCTTACACAGTAAGAAATGCTTTGAGCTGTTTGTTATCAACATATCACATACAGTGTTTTCCTTTCATTAACATGGAGTTTTTCAAGAAGAGGGATAAGTTAGCAAACTTGTTACACTCAGTAAAAGCGCAAGATTTTTAAACGAGGAACCCTTCAGTTTCTCAGAGCTCAATTAGTATTAATTACAAGTTTAAAGAAGCACCACAACATATTCACATTGATAGTATAGGCATATCTACAGCATAATTACTGTCACTTCAATAAGTGCAGTCATGCATGTTCATCCCCTTCTAGGATCAAAGTGGTGGCATTTCAAGTCCAGGCTCCTGCTATCAGAGGCAACCGTGTTTCACATTCCTTTCATAAATGTATCATTTTCCACCTTGCAAACAGTTAGACGTGTGTGGAAAACAAAACCTGACCACCTTCTTGGGAGACTCCTTCAGAACAGCACTGCTTTCATGGCTGGAAATATTGTAACTTCCAGTCTGATTTTCTGCCAATTATTTCTGCCCCAGCTCTGTTCTTCAGATTAAATAATTGTTCTCCTTAACTCACAGTTGTCCTCTCCACACAGCATACCTTTTGTCTTGGCCTTTACTTTACTCAAGAGAAATAAAGGTTTTAGTATCCTCACAATAACCTTTCCCTTACCCCTATTTGTTTTACTCTCATTTCTCTGTTTGTTACACCTAAGTTCATGCTTCCTATACCTAGGCACCTGAATGCTTGGCAGTATTCCTGGGGAGGTTGTTGTGCTGCCTCTTATGGAAGCATTAATCATTTTATTTAATTACCTGAAAGGTCTAAGTTGGTACATTTTTAACTGGCATAAACATCATCTATAGACATATCAGATCATTGGGACCGCAGTCATTTTGGATTAAATTCATCTTACCGAGTTTTAAGCAGCATCTCTGAGCTAGTCACTGCAGGCCATCGTAGAATTAGAGAGACATTTCACAGCATGATTCATCTGACCTGTTTTTAGAGATTCTGACTGGGTGAAATCTGTTGTGTCCTAGAAATACTCTTCACTGACCATGTCTAAACAAATACCTCAGTTGGAGAGATCTATGAACAGCTTATTTTGTTGTTTATTAATATAATCCTTCATTTCCTTTTTAAAAATCTTGAGATATCAGATAATAGCAGAAGCAATCTTAACCACATATATAACTAAGTTTTCAGACTTCCATCCTATTTATATTCCTCACACTCTCCCAGTTGTGAAGTTTTCTCTGGATTATTCATTGATGGCACTTTTGAACGGTATATTGAAAATGGCTCTTCTAGTAGGCCTTTAAAACCCACAGTACCTAAAGGTGGTACAATTTCCTCTCAAAAATCAAGTGCTTGTGTAATGATTTGACAGAATTACCATTTGACAATTGTTATTCTAGTCTGGCATATGAGCAACAGCTATTTTAGGAAATCAGATTGTAGTAACATTCAGCGGTGAAAACAAAATGCTGAATTTTGATAAAATAAAAGGATGTAGACTTGGGGAAGTAGGTGGATGCTTTTTGGCAGTACATCTCTATCAAAGCTTCTAAACTACATCTTCTAAGCAAGATGCTTGAAAAATTTGAATAGTAAAAGTTAAACATTAAAATCAAACAAACAGGTGCAAATATGTATTTCTATCATCTTCTCCAATGGAATAATTACAGAATTTTGCTTCACAAAGAACAAATTAAAATCAGAATGAATTTGATACTCTCTCTCACCTCCACAGACAAATCAATGTAGTTACTGTACTATATGGTCTCACAGTGGATTAATATTTAAAAATTTACTGCTTTTGAATCTTAAGAATTTACCTTAAATCCTCCAAATATGAGCTATAAAATGGGAAAAGTGTAACCACTATACCACCATTTCTTTGCTTTGAGAGGGAAGTGCTGGTAGAGACAAATAAGTTTATCCCAGGTTTTGCAGCAAGTAACAGGCTGGACTGGATATTTTGAGAGTTTTGATTTGGCCAGTACACAGTCATGAAGGTTTTCTTCACGTCTCACCAATCCTGTTTACATACAAGTATTTGAACAATTCTTCATGTGACACAAGTGTTTAGACAAAATTCCTTATGAGAGGGGATAACTGGCGAAAGTTTTCATCCAAACCCAAACTAAATACAAATTACAGAATATCTGGAAGATTGCTGAACACAAGCACGAACAATTCAAAACTGAGTTATTTACCACAGCAGAACTAACTATGAGTACTTGTAATCCTACTTGGTGCTCAGAAACCAAAACTCAGAAACCAAAACTCAACTTCATTCCTTGGACCAAAATACCAAAAGGATTAACTTCCAGATAGTTCAGGCTAAAGGAAAAATTCATGGACAGGAGGTCCATGAACAGATACTGAAGAGTAAGGCAGGGATGTCCCATCCAATATCACAAATCCAAAAAAGATGGATGTCAAGAGAGTACAAGGGAAAAGGATCTCTGAAAGCAGAGAGGCCCATGTGCTATCCCCCAGTTGAATGCCCTGTTAGCACTGTCACAAAATAAGCATCAAGGCAGACAGACCATTACTCTGGCCCACAAGAGTATTTCTTGAATTATCTTGTTCCGTGAATAAAAAACAGACAGACTTCAGTAGTACCTTAGGGAAACTCAAATAAAATTGTGAGGGGAAAATGTCAATTTAAAATTGTTTAACAGTACAGCCTAAAAGTGAGATCACCTAGTCAGAAATAATGAGTGAAGAAATACCATTAGTGTTCTCACACGACACATATTCGGACCCAAAATCCCTGCCACAGCAGGTTCAAAGGGATGCCATCTCAGATAAATATGATTTTTTTCAGGATGTAATTCCAGCTACATTTTAAATGTCAGACTAACAACCATCTTGCCCCTCATAAATCAAAAATGATCAGATTTTTCATTCTCTATGGAAATTCTACTTTCTTAGGCCAGAATTCTTGTAAACGTTCCTGGTAGCAGCATTTGTTAAGCATATGTGCTGACCTTTTCAAAGTTCCTCTTTTTAAAAAATTAGTGTTCTTGTTTATCATTTTGCTATGTATTCTTTCAAATACTGCTAAGCACAAACTTTGGATGCTCACTCTAGTATGCAAAGTTCCCTGCTCATGAGTGTACAAGCATTACAAGACTTCTTTGTCATTCTTTCTTGTCAGTAAAGTATAAATTCCAGAGCTCTTCAACCAATGCAAACACAGGGGAAATTTCCATCCTTCTTCCTGAAACAGGATGTAATAATTCTACTAAAGGCATATCTGTATATAAAATAGCCAATATTTACCCTGAGAACTCCCTCTTTCATGACTAACTGTTTGGGAGAAATCAAATGAGAAAAAAAAAAAGTAGTCATTTCCCAGAGAACACAACATGTTAAAACCAAGACCAACAGTAGGTTAGACATGCTCTGGTCCTGTTTGATTTTTTGTTGCTGGAGCACTTCCCTACGAAGACAGGCTGAGAAAGTTGGGGTTGTCAGGCCTGGAGGAGAGAAGTCTCCTGGGACACTTACTGGGGCCTTTTAATACTTGAAGGGGTTTGTAAGAGAGGTGTAGAGAGACTTCTTACTGTAGTGATAGGGCAAGGAATAATGGCTTTAAGCTAAAAGAGGATAGATTTAGGTAAGACATTAGGGAGAAATTCTTCACTATGAGTGTGGTGAGACACTGGAACAGGTTAGTCAGATCAGCTATGGCTGCCCCATCCCTGGCAGTGTTTAAGGCCAGCTTGCACGGGGCTTGGAGCAACCTGGTCTAGTGAAAGGTGTTCCTGCCCATGTCAGGGGGTTTGGAACTAGATGATCTTTAAAGTCCCTTCCAAACCAAACTATTCTATGATTCTATGACAGTTTGGCATGACCAGACCTTAAAGCAAATATTTTAGCCCTGAGATCATATCACAACAATTGTGATCTTAACTTAGCCACAAGATCTTAACTGAACTCTGCACAAGAACAGCTCTTATTGCTGTTGTTCTTCAGGTCTCTATTAGAAAGCTACAAGAAATATCAGGTTATTTCAGATTAACATTATTTAAGTAATGCTAAAGCTTTCCTTCCTGCGAACAGAATATAATAAGCATTAAAGGGACTTCTACTTACCAATATCAGAGGCTCATAAACTGCCAGTATAGAAAAGAACCTCATACACTTGAGATGCTCCTGGAATCAGACTAACTTTCATTTCAAAATATCATAGAACTACGAGTGAGAAAATGTGCCTTTCTGGTCATTTGACTCAGAGTGCATGCTGCATCTGTTACTTATTTTCAGTGCATTTGGAAGGAGACTTCAATAAGAGGTAACAATTTAATCAGACTTTCTAAGGCTTTTTGTGGTGGAGATTATAGACTAAGAAGAATATTCAAGAGCCAGAGAGACTTAATTTGTTTAGTATCTTAAATCGAAGTTGATGCAGTTAGTCATTCCCAAGTTTATAACAAACAAATCCACCTACAGTACGAAAAGCAAACAACTACAACTGTTACTGGCTTAACTGATCTATCAGGCCTCTTGCTTTTGAGGAGGAAAGCCTATAGACTTTCACTTGATACTAAAAGTCAAAAAATACATTTTTAAGCTTTGATGATTTTTTGCTACATGGGCTTCTCCAAGTCCTTGCTCTAAGCAAGTCCACAGTTAGGCTTGAATATTCATTCTCATTAAGGAAATCTAGAAAAGGATGGTCCTGGAGAAAAAAAAAGTAAAGGATTTTTGGTGGGGATTAACCTGGTAGCACTTTTAAAAACCTTGAGTTAAAAAGGTGTCTTTTCATCAAGTTTCAGACAACTGTAATTCATCCTGTATCCCCAGGCTAAACCTTGGGGTTCTTCCGGGTTTTGCTGCCTTTGCTTTATCCAGTAGATTATTAGGATGTGCACCTTGACAAACTACTGTCCTTATAGTGCTTGCTTACAACATTGCTGCATATCATAATAAAGTGCCAGAGTATACATTGCTTAAAGATGGCACCAAACTGAAGAACCCAAATCTTCACTGAACAAGAGGATCGTGGGTTGTTTTGTTCTGGTTTGGTGTACTATGGCAGAGCTGACACTTTTTTTGAAGAATCTTACCTGGGTGACTCAAATTATGAGACTTTTGGTGAAATAAAACCTTTTCCTCAGTTGCTGAAGTTTTCATAGGCTAGATGTTCTGCATTCATTCAGCTATCTTAACAGATTTCCGTAACATTTCTTCAGGTAAGGAAAAATGGAAGGAAGAAAGGGTAGATAAATCATGCTGGTAAGATTGGTACCTCCCATAATTCAAGGGAGCGATTCAGTGTAAAATTCCTGTAAAGTAAACTGATGACACAGTGACCCTTGCCTCCAGCATGTTGCATTAAAACTTTGTCTACCTCTCTTGTAAAAACAAAGGATTTCATTCTGAAGACAACAGGGGCATGAATTGCATCGATTATGAAGGAAATTGCACCTGATAATCCTTGCTATGCAAACCACAGAACTCCCCATCATCCAGAAGGCATCTTCAGTATTAAAAAAAGCCCTCCTTCTCCCTGTTCTCAAAATCAGTGATGTAGTCAGTCCCTTGGTTCAGAGAAGCTGAATTGGCTTCTGTATCACAATGAAGGTTAGAAAACAGTGGTGCTTCATGAAGCCCTTAGAGCCCTGGTATTCAAGAAGAGGGATAAGATGCTTAGATGATTTGTTCCTTCACTTAAATGGATAGTTCAAAGGGGAAAGTAAAGAGAAATATCCAGTTATTAGTCATCACTGGCTGAAATGGAGTAAAAGGCCTCAAACTGGCAGCCTGAACTTTAGCTTGAATGAACCAGGTGCAAAGTTGGCACATAACTCAAGCAACAACTCAGTATAACCCAATGTTTTTTTCAGAATCTCAGTGTTGACAACACAAGAGGGACAGGAGTGTGTGTACTTTGGGGCAACACATCAACACATGGTAAAATCCACCCTACAACAACAACAGAACTAAAACTTAATGGTTTCTCAATCATGTTTTCATTGCTCATAGAGATACAACTACTCCCTTCAACACCAAGCCTTACACATCTTTCATTGCAATGTTCTCAGCTCCTTACAGGAGAAGACTAATTATTTCAAGAATGATCATGAACATAATTAATATCAGATCCTCCCCTTGGTACACTGTGCAGACTGCTGTGAAACCAGAAATTATTTTCTTATTAATGACATTAAAATAGACAAGAGGGAAGCCTTTTACTTTAAAAATCTTCCTTCTAGTAGCCAAATCTCTCTCTTTTTAAAATTTGTTTATTAAAACCTAATGTGTTATTAGCATGAGAATAATTTCAAGCAGTGCTTGGATACCAAATACAGCAGCACTGTCTTTTGCACTGTTTATGCCATACATGTAAGACTGGAGTACTTAATATTTTAATTTATTATTGAAAGTAATAAAAATTAGGAGAATTCCACAGCCTAAATAAAGCTGAAGGCACAACACTTCTACATGGTGTATGAATTTCTAAACTACAGTCAGCATATGAACATGTTTGTCATCATTAACATGCATCTATAGTTCAGCAGGAACACCACAATGCTGTACTACATCTAACAGCCTACACAAAAGACCAGCAAACAAATTCTTATCTTAAGCAGATGGGACAAGTTAACAGACCTTTTGGAGCAAAGTTACAGTTTGCAATCATGTCAAAGTCTATCTGAAAACTGAATTAATATGCAGGATATAAATTACCCAGAATGAATCTAATTAATCCGGATCATGACCATTTTAAGATAATGGGTTTTCTACTTTTGCTATTAATATGTAATTGCTTATATTGCGTATTTATATTTTCTGTGCACTTTTTCCATAGATAATTTTGACCCATAACTGTGCAGGGTAGGCCAAAGATTTTTTCAAAAAAGTCTATTGCTATTTGGAGGCAACTTACTGTTAGTTCACATACTTTCCTCTCGAATACACAGTCCTCAGTTTGAACCTGAATCAAACCAACCTACAGATCAACGAAACTTCAGAACACACCCTGAGAAAATACTGCCCTTGATACACTCATAAATAATAATTACATTTATAGGAATAGCAATACAAATTCTACCAAGTACCACAGGTCCCTGCAACTATTGAAGAGCAGGAAAAAATACTGATGGAAATTACCTGTGTAATTATTACGGCTCCTGGAACTTCGAACTCTGTTCAACAGTTTGCTAGACATTTCTCTCCACTACACCCCCCATTTTAACAGGAATAGTTGGAATAAAGTTAATCTCATACTGATAATAAGAACACAAATGCTGTAGAGCTTGTAATAAAACAGAACAACATACAATAAGTATATAACAGAAGCTACTGGTCCTACAGTAAACCCTTTAACAGTAAAATTCTAATAAAATAGTAAGCCATCAAAATTTACAAACTACTACAAACAGTTAAAATGTCACAGATGTAATAAACACAATTAAAAAAAGCAGGTACACTTATGCCGGAGCAAATACACTGCACATTTTAATTTTTCAAGAGGAAATGTAATATGCCGCAGATAAAAGAGTAACAAAGCAAAAAGAGATTGAGTAAAAACATAACGATTCTCAAAGGTTAATGATTACACCACAGGCATATTGTCACTGATCACATTTTTACTACCTATAGCTAGCAGATAATTTCTTTTTTTGCCCCCCAAAGAAGGTAGGACTATTATGTGTTGACTTTTGTGTGCGTTATTACTTGTCCTGTCTAGAAGTGCAAATCTCGAAAATTGGCAAAAGGAAGAAAAATAACTGGTAAAATATTGGAATACAAAAGTTATTGCAGAGAGACAGAAATTCATTACTTTCAGACTCTGTCAAACTTATAATAATATGCACTTAGAAACAAAAGCAAAATCTTATTTTAAATGGCATTTTCTAAAGCTACACTAACAAAAGGATTTGTGGCCCTGTCATGAAAAAACATTGACCCTTGACCTTTTTTCAGTTTAGAGAAGGAGAATAGCCAGAATCTTGTATATCGAACAAATGTTTGTTCTATATAAACGTTCTCCTAATTTTCTTAGTTTGCTGAAAAAGCGGAGGAAAGAAAAAAAAAAGACAATATAAAAAGAAAAGAAGAAGAAATTGCCCCAAACGAAAGGCTCAATTCAGAAACTGTGTAAGGCTGCTTCTAAACAGTCATGTGACTTTTTTTTTACTAACAGCCATGTGCTCGCGTATCATTTTACCCTGAAATAACTCTGCGGATTTCAGCTCAACCTGCCTTTGCTTATAATGCATGACATAGCCTGTGAGGGAGCCTGAGAACCGTCCCTCTTCAAAAGCAAGGTTCCCATGCTTGGCCTGTAACCATGGAAGCAGATGCCTTTTTTGCTTACCCCTGCTTACCTCTTTGCAGCCACGAGCTGCTCCCTATTGTTAAAAGGGGTACGCCTTGATTTTTCTTCGTCGTGACTGAACTTGCCTCTTCTTCAAAGGGCACGATGCTGCAGGTCATTGGTCTAGACTGTTTGCACGGTCCAGAGAACAGCCTTGATGTAACCCTTGCTCCGTCTGTGCCACACCACCAGCCGTGCGACTGCAGACTGTAGGGGGACATCGGAGATCTGTATTTGAAAAGAAGTCCGTCCGATTTTGCCATTGTGCCTTTTCAGTCATCGATCGAATGAATATCGAACCTTCTGTCGTTGCATGTGTGAAATAGATAGCTTAGCAAGCACTTTTGTGCCCAAACCTGTGCAGTGGGCCAAACTCTCTTCCTTTATTCACAAGTATTATTGTTTTTTTGTAGTATAGTAATTTCTTAGGAACTTTAATAACGGTGTCCTAATGTTAGACTAGCCTCACAACAGAATCTCTTTGTTGTAATGTGCTTGATTTAGCACTCAATTTTTTTTTTTTTTTTAAAGGTGCTTTCTCTTTTAGTCATTCCCAGTTGAACATCAGCCTTCTTAAAGTGCAAGGGCGGCTGATTTTGAATCAGTATGAATAGCCCAGAATCATTTCAAAACAAGATACTGACTGGACGTTTGCTGCCATAAGGCTTTAAAAATAACAGGGGGGTTGAGGGGGAAGAAGAGTGAACTTGGAAAGCTTCCAAGATAAATTCAAAAAGTAAAAAATCCAACAAATACGGCTTTTTTTGTTGTTGTTGTTGTTAAATAGAATAAAGTAGATAGTGTTAAGAAAAGATAGATATTGTAATAGATAAAATAACCTCACAGTGGTGGCTAAAACTCTAAAAGAATCTTTTTTTTTCTCTTGATATAGAAAGACAAATAATTCAGAAAATTAACACCTGGTAACATGGGACCTTGAAAGCACTTTTTGTTCTTCTGTACTATTGCATAAACCTTTTTGATATTCACTGGTCAGCTTATTTTTTTAATATGCATTTAATTAAAAAAATTATACCGATGAATGTCGACACCATTGCAAGAAATAATGAAAATCATGCTAAACCACTGAGAAAATGTAGCTGAAGTGTTCAGTCGAAGAGTTCAACAGAACTCTAAGAATTTCAGGGGGGAGTGAAGAAAAAGATGCTCTAACACCTCCAAATAAAAAAACACCGGAATTGTAGCTAACATGGAAAATTATACATTCTTGAAATCAGTCGGTAAGCAAGTTTTTACTCTTCTTTTAACAGAATGATAAACTCTCTGATCACTGCCTGTCGAAAAAACAATAATCTAGTGAAAGCCATCAGCACCTACTCATTGTAAAATGTGCCTGCCTCTACTCTGTCCTAATAAAATCTGGATTGCATCAAAAAGGGCTTATATATTCTTCAGGGTGTTGCTTACCCAGTGTTGTCTGTATATGACATCAGTATATATATTTTTGAGATACCACTATCTCATACTTCAAGGCATACCTATTTTCTCTAATTGCCGCAGGCAAAGGGGAGGTGCACTAAAGAATAAAGAAGGTTATTGTGACAGATGAAACATAATTCACAATGAGTACTCTTTTCATCCAGCCCTAAGTAGCAGAGGATTACTCCAAGCTGAATTTTAGGGGAGTATGTATGATCCGATTTAATAATACGAGGACAGGCCACGAGTTGAAAGGCAATATAAACCAATTATGCTTTTGCTGATTGTTTGTGGGGTTTTGTTGTTGGGGTTTCCTCCAAACCCTTCTCTTTTCTGGAAACAGAAGAAAAGTTAACGCGAAGAGGGTCTGAAGAAACATGGGGAAAAGTAAGAAATGCGGAGAAATAAAAGTTGGGATTTTTTGGAATGGATATTGACAAATGCTTATTCTATATTTCTGCTTCATGACACTTGAAATAAGATCATGCCTTTTCTTCAGTATTAATGCGCTGTGGAAGTAGGTAAACTAATTTTGATACACTTACTGAACTTGTCTTGCTTCCAAGAAACTAATACTTGAGTCTTCTAAAAATGCTGTATGATGTCAAGTTTAGATGTAGATAACTGTGCTAGTAAAATAACTTTGTGCTAGTAAAATAACTTTGTGCTAGTAAAATAACTTTGTGCTAAGTGTGTGTACATTGCTTTTCTGAGTCACTGTTTTAATATTTAAACAGTAAGTGAGTAAGCTTGCATGAGTATTTTACATGTTTCTCTCCTTATAGCGTGCTTTGGAAAATAATTGCCTAGCACAAATTACTGTATTACATTCGGAAAGGTTTCATCTTTTTAGACTTTCAGTTTTCATATAACAACTATTTTTTTATGATCTAAAATTGCATTCAGAATGCCTGGACATGTGTAGCTAGTTAAACTGAAAAAACTGCTAAGGTGCTTGGCACAAAACCCCAACAAAACAGTATCTCATTTTCTCTTTAGAAATGTTCATTTAGACTGAGTATTTTTTAAAGTAATAGGTAACTTTTAAAAATTCCATTTTAATGCAATTGTATTAACCACTGATCTTCTCAAAGAACATTTCTATAAATTTTCTACAATTTAGTATGCAAAATAAAACTATTTTGAGATACATATTCTAAATCTATTATTCTAGTCTTCATCTTGTTTGAAAAATCACAGACAAAAAAATCAAACAACCGTGAGTTACATGTTTGTTTTCATATATTTTGGATTTTTTAATTAAACAAAAAACTGCTCAGCAGTCAGAGCTAATAAAACTGTGCTTCTAACTGAAAATGAATTATTACTGGGGGTTAGTTTATAACATTGAGATTTTGGACTGAAATATAAAATAAAGATTAATTGGGAGAGACTTTCTGTTATTCTGTGCTGCTATATATCAGACCAGCTAAGATGATTCAACAACTTAAGATCAAATGTTCCATAAACAAAATAGCAAGGAAATGGCATAAAAATCAGCATGTGAAATTATTATTATATTTTCTAAACCAGAAAAGAACATTGAAATTTTGTCTCTCTAGAGGCTGTTACTGAACTATTCTCTTACATAATATGATTTCATGCCATTCTTAAAAGCAAACATAAAACCAATATTAAGTGTTTCATAAACACCATAAGCAATTAAGTGTATTTCGGTGGATGAGCAGGATGCATTAAGCACACCACAGTACTATATTTTAAAGAAAGAATGAGCAGTCAGAAAATGCACGAAGTACAAAAAGCAAACTGCCAGAGTGAAAGCATACATTTTAATATTTTAGTTCGCAAACGGGAGCAGCAGCCAAAAGACCGTTCTAACCACCTGACAAACAGCAACAAACAACAGCTCTCGAGTCAAAATATTTATTAGGGTGTCATGTCAATGCACAGCCTAACATATGTGCCAAGGAGAAATTATTCTATTATCTTCAGCTGAGTGAAGCAGTAACAATGAACGTACAGATTTATAAATATATATAGGACTGAGAACATTCTTTCAAATCATACAACCATTTAGCTTTCATTGATAATTTAAAAAATATATTAAAAAGTGTAAAGTACAAGTTACATTAATTCCTGTGACAATTTTTATCCAAATATTTTTGTTGCCATGACACACTGTACTTGCAATCCATCGTAAAGTTTCTTAGCAAGAAATAATATACTTTAGCATTTGTTTAAGGAGTCAAATGGCATTTAGCTACCCTAAATGACATTATTTTAAGCAATATATCTTCTGTTATAAACTTTTAAACAGCGTATATTTTAGGGGCATTCATATTGGTAGCCTGGTTCTCTTTAAAATTAGTTTGAATTAAAATTTACTATTGATATACATAAAACTTTCAGCAAAAGTGCAGAGGAAGGTTGCCTTTGGAAAAGTAGGGAAAAGAAAGCACGTCAGATGATGCCTGCATGCAACAAAAGAATCTCTTAAGATGAACAATGTTTTAATACTGAATCAAACAGTGAGTACGCATGTAATTTACAAATCTAAAAATATATAGTATTACACATTATTTTCATTCTTTTCTGTAAAACTTACATCAGGCTGACTCATATAAAATTCACCACATCATTTTTAACAGCCGGTATTGAGGGTTTTTTAAAAGAGAAAAGGCAGGGGAAAAGAGCTCTTCATGTCCTTTGCAAACAGCTTTGATTTTAACCAAAACTAAGCGTGCAGGTATAGTTGTCTCATCCCACACCCTATAAATCTTTAAAAAACTGCAACTGAAATTAAGATTTGTAATATTTTGGGAGCTACAAAGAACATAGCAGCTCAGGAGACAACACTGGGAATGTAAGAAATCACAGACTTTGATTCTATACGACAAGCTGGATAGGAGTCAAAGCTGCCACATGTGGTGTGAAAAAATGCCACCCCGGTGTGAACAAAGGGTTTAAAATGGAGTCAAGAAGCGTGCAAGCTCAATGTCTAAGCTTTTCCTGTGAATTGTACTGCCACAACCTGCAGGATATCAAGTGGACTGGGAAGAATAGAGTGCCTTTGGAAGCTACAATGGAGTAGCGGTGGCCGTCGGTGCGTTAGGGTTTCTATTGTTTTGGTCTTCTTGTTTGCGTGTCCTGACAATGTGCTGCTCTACTTCAGCGAGAAATTAAACTCTAAGCACCAAAAATAAAGTCACAAAATTCACAGAGAAACTGATGAATGCAGCAACTCTGATCTTGCTTATTGTAGTCCTAGTTTACAGCTCAATGAGAGAATTTACCAGCTGGACTGTTCATTTTACTGGGCCCTGAACCACAATCTCACATGTGCAAAAGAAAAAGAATAATAAACGCTATTCATAAAAATCTCTGTGACTTTTTAACAAGATAATAATTGCAATAATATAAATATTTTTGGGGGTTCATTCAAACAGAAAGAATGCTGCACCTTATTTCAGTCAACAGCTTTCCTCCTTTTATTACAACATAAAGCTAATAATCTGCACATTCATTTCAGAAAACACTGTCTTTTGGAAATAATCTATGCAAGTGCATGCAGCAGCAACCCAAAAGTGTATAGGTCACATGCTCGCAAGGATCCTGTGCTAACACTGTTCAACAGTGAAGGTACTAAAAATCATAAATATTCTACCTAGGTAAAGGAAAATGCTATGTAGTCAAGGCAAAAGGAATAATAAGAAAGAAAATAGTTAAATACATCTTCCCAAGAGATGTAAACAGCAAAAAGTACAAGTTTCACAAAGAGAAAATGCATTATATTTATCAGAATTCCTAAACAAAATCAATTAAAATCCAAGGAAGCACACCCACAAAACCCAATAAACAGTAGATTTTC